GGATCATGACCTGAGCCGAAGGCAGTCGCTTAACCAACTGAGCCACCCAGGCGCCCTAAAATTATCTTTATATACGATACAATAGCATATTTTGAAAAGTCAGATAATGCTTAAACCATAAAAAAGTCAGTAAAGCAGCAGGAGGGTAGTAGGATATAAAATAAGCATTCATAAATCAATAACATTGATACACAAAATTAATAACCAGTAGAGGACATTATAGTTGAGAAACTACCCTTTAGGTCAGGGAAAAAATTAAATACTTAGGACTCAATTTTTAAAATGTGAAAAATCTGTATGAGTAAATCTTTAAAATATTCCTGAAAGATGCAAAATAAATATGAAGAATTCAAAGACAGCCCATGTTCCCATATTAGTTGACTCAGTGTTATGAAGATTTTAGTTCTCCCAAAGTTAATTTACAAATTTAACGCGATCCCAATAAACATACAAACAAGTATTGTGAGGTTTTTTTTTTAATAGAGCTAAATTTATTATTATTTAAAAATGCAAAAATAAGGCACCTGGGTGGCCCAGTCAATTAAGCAACCAACTCTTGACTCTGGCTCAGGTGATGATCTCAGGGTCATGAGATGGAGCCCCGAATGGGGCTCGGCCCTGGGTGTAGAGCCTGCTTAAGATTCTCTCTCTCCCTTTCTCCACCCCCCCCAATCCCCTCTCCCTCTCAAAAAAAAAGAAGCCAGATAAACTGAAAGGAAAAACAAAACAAATGAAAATACGACCTGGAATTAGCCTTATAAGACATTAATACAAAATGTTTTAGCCTCTATATACTGTTGAGTCTCTACTATTACTATAGTGTAGTGACACATAGAAAAACAAATGAGGGAATGGAACAGAAAGATCAGAAATAACCAAAGTTCATAAGAAAATGTAAAATATGAGAAAGTGGGTGTCTCAAATAACAGAAGCAAAGATTGATTTCTTTCATAAATGATGTTTAGCCAACAGAAAAGCCATTCAGTAAAGAGAAAAATTAGATTCATACTTTGTACCATACAGTAACTCCTAATGGACTAGGGAATTAAATATAAACAAATAAAACCATGCAAGTACTAAAAGTAGACATGGATGAATTCCACTCAAAGTGGAATATAGCCAGTAATACTTGAGCCAAACTGTATTAGAAATGAATAAAATAACCATTGAAGGGAATAGGAAAGATAAGAACCTAAGTTAACTTTGTTGAACAATATTTTAATTACATTCTGTAAAGCTAAAGATGAAAATAATTGTACTTGAGTATTTTATTCTAGTTAATTTGTTTTCATAGACAAATGACATGTTAAAATTTTAGAACTACATTTTGTATTTACTGGAATTGAAAAAATAAGAAAATATACTATGGATAAATCAGAGCCAGGTGTCTCACTGTTGGAAAAAGGAATTACAAATGAGGAAAGAGGAAACACTAGAATGAACCCCATGGTGTTTAGTTTGGAAGCAGAACTATCAGTATGAACTCATGGTTTATAATACATGTAAGAAGGGACAGATATAGAAATATAGATGCCCATGAATGTGTTTGTAGAACATATATTTTCTACTTCTGCTCACTGAAATGGTTAGGAAGCAACAACACCCAATATTAATGAATATGCCTACTGCCCTGATCTTGATTTCTTTTTTTTTTTTTAAAGATTTTATTTGTTTGAGAGAGAGAGAATGAGAGACAGAGAGCACGAGAGGGAAGAGGATCAGAGGGAGAAGCAGACTCCCCACCGAGCAGGGAGTCCGATGTGGGACTCGATCCCGGGACTCCAGGATCATGACCTGAGCCGAAGGCAGTCGCTTAACCAACTGAGCCACCCAGGCACCCCTGATCTTGATTTCTAAATACCTTGGAGAAATGGTGAATTTTATTGCTTGGATCAAGATAAGCCAGGAATATCTTATGTACTAAAAAGTAAGGATGTGATCAGAAAATGATGGGGACGTATGAAAGGACACAGAAGCCAAACTGTAGGAAGTCCCAGTGCCAAGTTTATTTTTAGCAACAAAATAATGATAATAATGGGTTATAAACTATAAAATAAAACATATGTATAAGTCTACACTGAGTATAAATGAGTAGATAAATAAATGGAGGATAAGCCACAGCTCTTCCTTATAGTAGAATTACAAATAATATGTATAGAAGGAGTGATGATAATAATGAGTCACCATTTGGCAAACAGCACAGTAATAAATACTGTTACAGTTAAGAATCATTGATGGATATTAGCTTAATGGACAAACATGTGCTGAGACATTTTTACATAGTTGGCTGTCCTCCTGACAGTATCTCCTCACAACATATGTATTAATCTAGAAGGGGAAAAATAATAAATTTACAGTGGAGAAACCTAGAAGAAACCATGCTAAACCAAGTGTTAAAATTAATATCACCAGCAGTAAGATATACTAACATCATGTACCTCCTGATAGAACACACTGAAAGGTCACAACATCACTTCCGTGTTATCCTTAGCAAAAAATGTATCAACTTAGTGGAATAATGAAAACATCAGACAAACTGACAGACATTCCACTGGCCAGTACTCTTTAAGGTTATCAAGTTTATGAAACATACAGAAAAATAAAAATTATATCAGATTGGAGGAAAATAAAGAGACATGAGAACAAAATGCATTGTGGGATCCTTGTTGGAGTTCAGAAACAAATAAAAAGACATTAGTGAGGCACATGCCATAATCTAAATAAGGTTTGTAGAGTAGTTAATGGTATTCTTGATATTATTTTCTTGACTTAGGTTAGGATTTCTATGGTTATATAAAATGTTAACATTAGGGTTAAAGGGTTTGTGGAAATTCCACGTATGGATGCTATTTTATTAAGTCTAAGTTTTACCTTAAAATTAAATAATTAAAGCAATCTGAGAAAACATCAAATTGCATATGAGGAAATTAGATTAACATAATAAGCCAAATGTTGTAAAACAATGAAATTTAAGAAAAATTTTCAGACCCCCCAGACAGCTCAGTCGGTTAAGTGGCCAATGTTTGGTTTCCGCTCAGGTCATGATCCTAGGGTCTTGGGATTGAGCCTCCCTGCCAGGCTCCCACACTCCTAGTCAGCTTGTGGATTCTCTCTCTCTCCCTCCCTCCATCCCTCCCCCTGCGCATTTCTTTCTCTCTCTCTCTTTCTCTCTCAAATAAATAAATCTTAAAAAAAAGTAAATTTTTCAACAGAGAAAATTGACAAAGCCAAATTTTGATTTTATGACAATACTAATAGAATTGAAAAAGTCCTTCAAGATTGATTCATAAATAAAAGAACAGATTACTAATATCAGAAATGATAAAGGGGAAAAAAACTCAGATCCTAGAAACATTAAAAATATCACAAAAGTTATTATGAAACAATTTAACACTAGTAAATTTGAAAATTTATATTCCTTAAGAGGTTCAACTTACTAAAACTATTAAAGTAATTGAACTGTTAAAAAATTCTTTCCCAAATTAAACTCTAGGCCAGCATGACTTCACCAAATAATTCTCCCAAATATTTAAGGAAGAAATAGCATCCATTTTAGAAAAATTCTTTCAAAGATGAAAAGTGAGGGACAACAGAACTCATTTGTAGACCTTAGCATGATCTTGGTTCCAAAACTGAAAGAGACATTACAGGAAGTAAAATAAATGGCTATTCCTTTATGAACATAGATGTAAAATTCCAAAACAAAATACAAAACTGAATCTAGTGATATTTTTTAAAGTTACCATATCACAACTAAGTGCTATTTATTCCAGAAATGAAAATTTGGTTTAAGGTTTAAAAATCAGACAGTTACTTATAGAACAAATGGTAAGTAGAATAAAGGGCAATATACAATCATATGATTATTTCAATAGCTGTACAGAAATTATTTGAAACATTGAGGAAAAAAGAACTCTGGCAAAATAAGGAGAGAAAGGATTTACAAAGAATGTCTTAAAAAAAGAAGCCTACAGCAATCATACCTAATAGTGAAACATGAATTGCTCTTCCTGATATTAGGAACAGCCCAAAACTATCCAAAATTTACTCTAGTCTTAGCCAATGCAACATGGCATGAAAACAGTATAATTTTGGAAATAAAGTAAAATATTCATTATTTGCAAATAGATACTATTTGCAATGTAGTCATTATTTGTAAGTCATTATCTTTGTAGAAAATCTAGAAGAATACAACAGTAAGTAATTAAAATTTCACAAGGCTCCTGTGGACAAAATAAATATGCCAAATAACTTTTTTTCTATATACTGCTAATATAAAATTAGAAAATAAATTTTTAAAAATCTATTTACACTTGCAACAAAAATTCCAAATACATAGAATTAAATCTAGTAAGATATATTCAACACTTCTTCATAGGCAACAATAAAAATATATATATATAAAGAAAGAAATACATGATGCTCATGAATTTAGTATAGTAAAAATTCAATACGGTAATGATTTCAGTTTCCCCATATTGACCATAGATTTAATGCAATCCCAATAACAATGCTGGCTGGTTTATAATTTTTGTTTGTTTTTAATAAGCCATTGGGGGGGACTTAGAAGTTAATTATTATAAAACTTATACATAAATGCAAATGACTAAGAAAAACAAAGTAGGATTACCAACACTATTACAGGCTTATAATTAATTAAAACAGTGCTGCATTGACACAAAATTAGAACCCTACTTACCTTTCAGATATTCTCTTTTATGAAATACCTCTTAGCTTTTCAGGCAGTTTTATCAAAACTTTGCTATTGTACCCTTTATTGTAGCAGTTGTAAAATAATTACATCAAAAATATTTATATGCCTTTCTTCCCACATCAGACTGTGAATTTTTCAACAGTGCCAATTTAACTAATAATTATCAAACCTAGCAGTCTCTGACATACAGCAGATACCCAAGGAATATGAGCTATATGATTAAAATAACATCAGTAAATAAGGTTTCCAAAGTCACCAAAATCCCAAACAGATAACTCAAACTTACCTCCTATATCTGGGCGAAGTTTATTGTCATAGCCTTGAAGCAATGAGTTGAGAATTTGTGTTATATCTCCTTCATGAATCTTCGGTGCCAAGACCCAGGTTTTGTTCACTGTTAAATCCTCATCATCTTCGTCATCCACTTTATCAACACTAAATAATTCAAAAAAAATTTGAATGATAGAAAGTTCAACCAAATTCTGTATTGAAAAACAGAGTTTAAGATAATCATAATTCTTATAATTTTGTTAGGAAATAGTAAGAGGGGAAAAAGCATTAATAATATTTTACATTCAGTAAGGCTAATCCTTTCCTCATATGAACCATCCTGATATAATAATACTCAAAAATTAAGAATTCAGTACAAGAAACATAACACATAATATTGAAATAATAAATTAAACCTTGGCCACCACAGCTGTCATTAAAGGCTGTAGAGATTAGGCACTGAAAATGTGAACTGTGGTCGTAGATTTGTGCACTACACACTCTGCACAACTGTACGTGGTGACTCTAAACCACCATACCCAAAAATACAAAATAAAAGGTAAATAAATACAGGAAAATTTGTAATAACTGGTGAGATATTTAAAAATGCATGTGTAGAAAAGAAGACCAAAGGAAAAAGTATTGAACACATCTATGTTTCTTCCTTTCAATTCAGAAGAACACAGGCATCATATTCCAAGAACTTTGTCAGAGAATATCTTGTCATCAAATCATGAATGGGTGACTCACCTGCCACATATATGGTGGGGGACATGACTATCAAGTTTTATGACTAGAAGTGAGACTTTAGAAATCAAATAACACCACTGCCTTTATTTTATAAATGAGAAAACTGAAGACAGTAGGGAACTAGCCAATGTACAAACTCACTTATTAGCAAAGCTGAGAATCAAGTCCTAACTCTCCAGTTAATGCTTCTCACTATACCCCCGTGTTTAACAAGCCCATGGATTCAGCTTAATTCTGCACCATGGTAGAAAATGCAGCAATATAGATATTCATCTACAATTCATCAAAAGTAACAAACTACTCTTCTCTATTACTCATAAAGAATGCCATCTTCAAATGAGTATGATCTTCTTAGACTTAACACCTACTCTAGTAAATCTCAGTCCTCCAGTGAGAAAGGGTCCAAAGACTAAACACTTACATTGGTGAAGTCAGATAAATCCAAAATACATGAGTTACTTCCATATGTTTCAGAGATAGTCTTCCTTCTAGCAGTAAACATGCAAATTTAATTCAGTATCTTGAGTTGATTTTTCTACGGTATCCTTTTAGATTTCTTTTGCTTTGGACTTAAAACATCTTAGCTAATGCAGCCCTCACCGTCTTTATCCTTCTTAAAAATTTTTTTCCAGGGGCACCTGGGTAGCTCAGTCAGTTAAGCAGCCCACTCTTGATTTTGGCTCAGGTCATGATCTCAGGGTCCTGAAATCGAGCCTTACTTCAGGCTCCCAGTTTAGAGGGGAGTCTGCTTAAGGATTTTCTCCCTCTCCTTCTGCCCCTCCTCCTACTCACATGCACTCTCTCTCTCTCTAAAATAAATAAATCTTCTAAAAAGATTTCCAGGTTTATTGAGATATAATTGACATATATTATACTACAGATTTAAAATGTGTAACAGAATGATTTGATATATATATAGCAAAATTATTACCATAAGTTTAATCAACATCCACCCTTTTTATCCTTAATGAGTACAAATTAACATTATAAATTAAAACTTTACCTTTATAGTATCTGCTACCTTATTTCTTCTCCATAGTAATTCTATTGATAGCTATTATCGGCAGATAATAAGGTGGGCTATTATTCTCAATATTTCTTCTCTCCTTCCTGTCAGAGAACTATACTTTTCACTCCACTGACTTCTAACTTGGTCGTGTGACCTGAAATGTTCCTTCCTTACAGGAGGATTATACTTCCCTGATCTATTGAACTCGGGTGTGGCCTTGTGATTTGCTTTGGCTAATGGAATATAAGTGACATGCATCACTACCAAGCAGAAGATCTAATGTCAGTGCACAGTTCACCATATCTCTCTTGTCCTTCTACCAAAAGATGAGCCATACTTGGAGGCTACACCATTACTTCATTCCCAGAGTGAAGACAACATGGACAAAGCCACAGCTGACCTACAATGGCCATGTAGCCTGAGTGAGAAATCAACATTTAGTGTCATAAGCCACTGAGATTTGGGGGTAGCTTACCACCACAGTACACAACTTAAATTCATATGTGAACCCCTATGGTACATTTAGTTAACAGGTTTTTAATGAAGAGCTTATTTATATTAATTGTACTGCTGTCTTTAACTTCAAAAAGTATATACTACGGAAATATAGTTATATGATTTATTTAATATAATTTCTTATTTCCTTCAATAAAATATATACAGACCCACACACACATTCATTCATAAACTAAAGCACTGAGAATCCTGAAGTTTTTGTTTTTTTTTTTAAGATTTTATTTATTTATTTGACAGAGAGAGAGAGAGAGCACAAGTAGGCAGAGAGGCAGGCAGAGGGAGAGGGAGAAGCAGACTCTCCATCGAGCAGGGAGCCCGACATGGGGCTCGATCCCAGGACCCCGGGATCATGACCTGAGCCGAAGGCAGCCGCTTAACCGACTGAGCCACCCAGGTGCCCCGAGAATCCTGAAGTATTAAGAATCCCTGCTGGTGTGTCCTCCAGGAAAGTTATCTTATCTAATTAGAATTGCTAAGATACTGGCAACAACCCAAATTTTAGAGCATCCATTTAACTTTAAACCCCAGTTTTATAGAATGAAACATCTGGGGGTTAGAGGCAGGCCACTGCACATATAAGCAGTTGATCTTTCTTTGAAACATGATTGTAGTTAAATGGAAGTCTCCAGGAAAAAAAAATAATAAAAAGCTTTTTCTATTTTTTAACAGTAGCAACATCCTGATAATCCAAAAGCACATGTTCATAGTGGTTTATATTCCCATTTTCCCAGCTATCTCAGAGGTAATATGAGAATCTCAGTGCTATCACAAAGCTAATTGTCCTCATTTTTGGCAATAATAGAAAGGAAATTTCATTATAGTTGATTTTTCTACATCTTCCCTCCAAGCTTTCTAAATTACTTTCAGAATATTCTTTAATTACATTAAGATCTTATTGATATTATTTGGGTGATTAAAGAGTACTTGTCATAATTTAAAAAAATAGTTCACATAGTTTATCTGATGTCTCAATATCTTTCACAGGCTGGGGGATTTTTGTAATGTTTATATACATTGAGTGACCATTTATTTGGGGGAAAGAAGTATGATTTTCTTAGGTAACAATGAGATTTTCTTGACTCATGCTCAAGCACTTCTTTTAAATAATTTGGGTAAGTATAATTTTATAATTAATGGAAATACATTTAGACCCCTGAGTATAAAACATTAGTAACTGTTATTTTAAAGATTGATGTTTTTATTGTTACTAACAACCACGGAGTGCCTAGAGGGCACCATTAAGTTCTTACCATGTTTCAGGAATTGTGTGCTTCGTTCTTTCCACATCTTATGTCATTTAATCCAGAGTAATTTCATGAAATAAATATTAATATTTCTACTTTACAGATGAGAAAAAATAGATTTATAGAGTTTCCAGGACATACCCTATTAAATAATAAAACCAGGAAGATTAACTTAATTTGAAGGCTATTTTCTCTCACTTTTTTTTTTTTTTTGGAAGGTTCCATAGTATCATCTCATTTTATCTTTATTAAAAAATCCAGGGTGATTGGACTGTGAGTTTTCTAATTCATAAGAATGCAGCAACACTTATGGTAGGTAATTAGTACATTTGGATTGTGCATGGATAGGATGCTAATCTCCATCCTTGAATTCCAAAAGGTTAGAATAATAATTTCAGGGAATCACACACACATTCTCCGATGAAAAGACTTTCTAACATGTGTGCTTAACTTCCAATACAATGCTTTAATTCATTTATAGAGGAAATATCATGTAATGCAAGTGTGCTAACTTCTGAAAATGCAAAGACAAAGTTGCATTCCTGATCTAAATTATCTTATTTTCTAATAAAGGAGAAAACTATTCAAACAAATGATATAGAAGACTATCATATGAAAAGATGTTTATCACAGTATTATCTATGATAGCACAAATTTTAAATACTGAGTATGTTTAAGTAAATAATTATGTAACCCTATGGTGTAATGGATGTATCCATTTGACTGATTTTGTGAATAGCCTACGAAAATAGAAAATTACTTTCATATTCTAATGTTATACGAAAAATAACATATAACAATTTGTTTTACCAAAACCTATGTATAAAATGGCTGAAGGTTTAATGGGAAAGCGGCATAATGAGTACACTAAGTATTCTACACTAGCGGAGCTGTAGAAAATTGAATTTTGTTTGTATATTAATAGTATGCTACAGTCTTTCTGTAGAATTTTGTAATATAAATACATTTGTCATTAATGCCTACCTAAAAATGAGCTGCCTTTTCCTATAAATCAGATAGAATTTTTAAATAAATTTCTAATCATAAAATCAAATAATTAAACAGAGCCTTTTATAGAGAGAAGCAGAGCTTTATGCTCTGCCAAGAAAACAATGGCAGCCCTGAAAATTTGCTGCCTGGCTCTTCCACGGGAACATGTGGACTGACACTCCAGCTGCCAGCCCTCCGGACCAGACCTACATCTGCACCAGACCCAAACCTCCCTGGGCTGCTTCCAGCAATAACTGGACATAGAGGCAGTCCTAGTACACATCCATCCCTGCAGGACGAGGGGCTCCTCTAAAGGGCAACTCATGTTAGACAACTCTCACTGGCCTGGTCGAAACTTTACTAGAAGTGCTCGACAGTCTGAGACTCTTTTGACACAAATGTCTTCCCACCGCCCCCCCGGCCTGCCCCACCGACCACCATGGAGGTGTCAGACCTCAGCTTGCTTCCACTTCTCCTTTTTATCTCACACAGGCATTTCTCTCAAAAATCTCTTCCATGTCTGATCTCATCTTGGCATCTGCATCTCCAAGGCTTCTGCTTCTCACATTTTTTAATTGACAGCGCTAATTATTTACTAACGAAAAGTTTTGAGTCACCTACATCAGTGTCGGTTTGTCTTTTTTTGTCTAAGCTAT